GTAAGCTAAGCGTACACCCTGGTACGCTGCACGTACTGGGTCAACTTCCCGTTTTTGGTCAAGGCCAGTGTACGTTGGGCGTACGTGCCAGGTACACCGCACGTACGCATGTAGAGTGGCTACATTGGGCTTTTTGGGCCTTAGGGGACTGGGCTTGGACTATTGGCCCCCGTGGCCCGCTGTGAAGTATAGTTCTGGGCCTGGGAGTTTGGAATTTGAGTATTGGGCCTATTGGGCCATGTCGGGCCTCTTGAAATTATATTTTGGGCTAAGGACTTTTGGTATTGTAATGAACTCATTTGAGGAATATGGCCCAATTCAAAAAATTAGGCCATTAGTGGGTCTTAGGGAGACTTTGATGAGCCATGGATGCACCGGGTATAATAAGTTAGAATTGGGCCTTATGAATGGTTCAAATTAGGCCAAGGGGGTAAAATGGTCATTTTACCCTAAGTAGTGTTATAGATTCTGGTTGAGTGTTATTGTGATTATGATAGACGGGAGTCATCGGAGCAGCTGTTAGAGATTACTTTCCATGAGATTCGACACTCAGCTTTACGAGGTGAGTTACCTTCAAGTAGAAGTAGGTCTAAGGCCACAATGTCGACCCACTAGTAGGAGCTTGTAGTTAGATGATTGTATGTGTGATAATTGTCTGGTATGTCACTATCTGTTATGTTCTATGTGCCAGTATGATATGATTCTATGTGGTAGTGGTAGGGGTGAAATAGTCCCCGATATCCGGTTGAAATAGACTGAAGGGGAGGCCAGCACCCATATATGCTAGGAAGTTATCCGATTAAAATAGACCGAAGGGGAGTCCAGCACCCAGATATGCTAGGCAACTATCCAGTTGAAATAGACCGAAGGGGAGGCCGGAACCCAGATATGCCTGGCTAGATATGTTATTGTATGATATTTGGTATGATGGGGGAACTCACTAAGCTTCGTGCTTACAGTTTTCAGTTTTGGTTTCAGGTACATCTTCCTGAAGGGGAAAGGAGTCGGTTTGACTGCAGCGCATTACACACATGATTTCCGCTCTATGATGTTTGATATTATTACTGTTTCACAACATGTTTTATGACATTTGACATATGGGTTTATGGGTTCGATATTATACCGATGATGTTTTTTAGTAAACTATTTTATAAGTTACTTAATTAAAAACAAAAGTTTTGGTCTTAGAAATTGGGACGTTACAAATGTAGTGACCATATCCTTAACCTAAGAGCATCTCTAATTGTAAACCTACCCTATCACTTAAAATTTTTACCACCTCATTATTCTAATACTTTTGACATCTAATTAATTAAGCCCTCCAATGGTTAAGCTTTTTCAATAGTTTTTTTTTTTTTTGAATTTTACTTATTGATCCTCATCTATCTAAAATGTTTATAAAAACTTTCTCATTTAATTAGTTATCTTTAAACATATTATACTTTAATATGAAATATTTTAAATTAAGGTTATCATTAGAAATTAGTACATAAATATTTTATAAATTAAAAACTATGATAGAAATAATTAAATAGTTAAATAAATGAAAAATATTTAAAACTAGAATATAATTAAGGGGTAAAAATAAAATATGTTAAAAGTAGAAGGGGTTAAATGTTTAATGTTTGATACTATATTGACCACTCAATATATATTGAGTGGTCAATATAAATATACCAAAAAACAATTCACTCCAATGATGTTAAATGCAAATAAGTCATTGATCAATATAAAAAAGCTCTAAAATAAGAGCATCTCCAATGGTTAAGCTATCTATAGCTTAAAGTTATTGTCACATCACCATTCTAATAATTTTAACCTTTAAATAAATGGTCTCTCCAATGGTTAAACTCTTCAAATAGCTTTTTCTTTAAATTTAATTAATCTATCCTTATCTATTTAAAATTTTCTATATAATCCCCTCCATTTAGTTAGTCATTTTTAAACACACATCATATTTTAATATAAACTATTCTAATTAATATTATCGTTATATTTATATTTCTTAAGTAAAATGTCACTAAATGTTTGGTAGAATTAATTAACTAGTAAACAAATAAATAAATTGAAAGCTAAAATAAAATTAAGGGTTAAATTAAAATATGATTAGAAGATGAGGGGATAAAATATACAAATGATTAAACTATATTGACCACTCAATATATATTGAGTGGTCAATAAAAATAAGCAAAAAAGTCAGTTGCTCCAATGAAAATAAGTGATCATTATTAATTAGTCAATAGTAATAACCTATAAAAAAAAGCTCCTATTGGAGATGCTCTAAGTTCCCATTGGAAATGCTTTAATGGTGGAATCTGGAATGAGACACTCCTAAAATCACACTTTTGCATATGATGAAAGTATACAAAGCAGATAATGTATGTGTTCCTAGAGAAAAATGTTATTTATTTGAAGGGTAAATATTATGAAAAAGGCATTGACCAATAATAGAAAATCCCATATTTTTGTTCTGTGTTGTAATGTTTGGGATTGTTTTTCAAACTTCTTATTGACTTTTTGGAATAACAATGAATTCTTGATTTTTTGAAAAAATAATTTTTTTCCACTAAAATGGTTAGTGTTTATCAACTACTTTTTTAACTTATTGACTTTTTGAAAAACCAATAAGTTAATAAGTCATTTTAAAAAAACACTCTCAAACACCCCAAAAAACCATCTCCTTAAGAAATTGTGCTATTTCACTAAGATGTTTATAAAATGTACTTTTATGGCATTAAAACATTTCATATATAGATTTTTGTATGAATTAAAATAATGTCTTTAAATGGTCACATTGATAGTTACCGACTTTTAAAAAGAGAATACAAAAAGAACATACTTTCAACATTTAACTGATTAAATGAATTAACTATATTTTAGTAATTAAACTAAAAACCATTTTCCGAGTATGAGTAGGTGTGAAAGGTAGTAGAGACCTATACTACCGGAAGCACAAGACTCGTATTTGGATCAGGGAAAGTCACAAGGTTACCAAGAAGCTAGTAATTGATTTTGTTTTGTTCAAGTATGTCGTTATCGTCGTTTCGGTGATGACTAAGAAGATGTTTGTTATTCCGACCCTAGTGGTCATATCAAATCGAGTCCGACTAAGGCGACTATGTTACGTGGTTCAGAAAACCAAGATCGATGTAGCATCCGACTTAAGCCAGAAGATTGAAGTGAAAGATAATCGAAGCGATTAATAGAAGTATCGTGATCGTTGTTAAAGAAAGAAGTTTGTAGCTAGGTGTGCTACATGCTAGAAAGTGATTATATCACATTAGAACATGAAGGAAGGTATATTCCATTATGGAATTTGACTCTAAAAGACCTGAGTCTAAGCGTTGCATCATACGATGAGAGGTCATTTGAACATGACCCATCGGTCTGTTACGATAAATGAAGGAAAGAACTTATCTTAATTCTTTTAAGAAGAAGAATAAGTATTCAATAAGGATTTTTGTAACTCGAAGGTTACGATTGAAAGTCCAACGCGAGATAGAGAGCGGGTGCAAGATTGAGCACCGTCTGCAGTCAAGAAGTCCAAGACTTAGATACTCATTCGAACGAACATAGAAGTTACGGTTATTACCTAGGATGAAGAGATAACATATGGAGTCATTATACAAGTCGTGTTTTGTTGATGATTCCGGGACGTAATCATCCTAAGGGGGAGATAATTGTAGCGCCCGCAGATTCAGGCTAGTCAATTTAGAGACAATAAGCGTTAAAAAAATGACTTTTTTAGAGGATTATTTATAATAAATAGTCTTAACTAAGTTGTAGTATATGTCACAAGGTTTCCTTACATATAAAGAAAGCCGAAATCCAAGTTATAACGAAGAAGTTATGACCTGTGGAAGTTTCGCGACAAAACGGGCACGACACCGGGAATCGTAAAAAATGAGTTTATGATAGAGTACTTTTTAGCCTTATGGTTCTAAATGAAAGTTGTAGAGTACGTCTCCACCTTCGCGTGGATATAAAGAACGTCAAAAACGAAGCTCGTATGCAAAAGTTATGGTCGTCCGAAGATGTAGCTGTCTGAGAGCATGACACGTGTCGGAAACCCTAATCTGACTGGACTCACGACGTGAGCATCAATTCTCACGACATGAGGAGTCAAACGGACAGTAATCGAGCCTAGAACAGGGGCGGACGCAAGATTTTATAGTAGGGGTTGCACGGAAAAGATAGGGGTTGCACGGTAGTATAAAAAATAAAATTTTCGAATATTTTTCCACTGCGACCGGAAAAGTTAGGGGTTGCCGGTGCCACCGTGGACTACCCCTAGGTCCGCCCCTGGCCTAGAAAACACCTGGGAAGGCAACGGGATGACTCCTGGAAGCTCACGACGTGAGCATATCATTCTCACGGCGTGAGAATTCGTCCGGACACATTTCAAAGCTATAAACACATATGGCAAGTAATTAAACTAAAAACCATTTTCGTTTCAAAGGTACTCGAAAGACACAAAATATAGAAAACCAAAAGCATACTTTCAAAATTTTATCGACTACCCTCGTAACTGCGTTTAGCTTAATGGTAGGAAATAAAGTACAACACCATTTTCATTGTATGTTTTGGGTAAGAAGTAAAAACATAAAGATATTACCCAAAAAAAGTACAAAACCATTTTGATTTAGCTTAATGGTAGGAAATAAAGTACAAAACCATTTTCATTGTATGTTTTGGGTAAGAAGTAAAAACATAAAGATATTAACAGAGATTGCGAATATTGGTTGCAAGAGTAAAATGCACAAACTGCTATCTTTTTAGTAGTTGAATATCATCTATTCAACTTTTCTTCACTCCCACAAACTACATACAGCATGTCACATTTCCCAAAAAAAAAAAAAAACAACCAAGACTGAATAAAAAGACTTTTTTAACCGCTAAAATAATATAAATATGTGAAAACCAGCAAGAAGCTGGAAAATACAGAATACAGCACAAGGAAGAAAGAAAATACTGAAGTACAAAGCGTGTTTGATTTCCTTCTAAACACAACCAAAATGGGAGATGACACCACACCAGCACTTCCAGAAGCATAGTACAGCAGCAGCACTAGCTATTGAAAGGGACAACTGATGAGCAGCACCAACCAAGTCCAAGTGAGAAGAGTAATGGGTCTGTTTTCCACGAAAGCCCAAGCACTTGAAATTAAGGGTCAACTGGGAGCTAAAGTCTTGCAAAAAGCAAATAGACCAGAATGGCAATCTTACTTTCAGAATGATACCAGGCCATACTAAATATGTAGCAACTAATCGGAACCTTCTGATTATGATTATGAGAAGATAGATAGCCCTTCCCCCATTAAGCAGGTGCTACCAGGAGTCGCAACATCCAACTGAGATTTGTCGTCTTTATGTGCATCTTCATCTGTAATTTCTGACAAAACACTGCAAAGCCAACCTCATCATCCCCGTTTCTTGCCCACAGTGAAAGAATGCCATTTTTTGCAGTTGGTATTCCTAGTTTAATGAAATAGAAATGCACTCTAGCTAGAGTAGACTGCAAAAATAGGCATGCTCGAGACAAGTCCTCAAAATCTATAAGAGAATGGGAAGTGTCGAAAAGACTTGATAACTTAAAACTGCTCATTCTAATAATACTTATTAAGAAGCTCTTCATTCGCACAATGATTTTCCAAAACTTTATAAACGTCCATTACAAGTTTCGGAAACTTGCTGCTAAAATATGTCCAGAGTCCCCCCACTCCCCCCAACAAACGTTTCGAATTTTTCCAGAGTGTTTTATAGTGACTTGAACAGTTTCTTATGAAACGTAATAAATCACACACGCTGTCATAATCGTATTCTCTGCGTCGCTTTAAGTTGTTTATGAGTGTGGAGTGTATTAAAGTGTTCCAATTTCCGTAACCCTGGAGGCTTTCGAGTGATTTTAGGATTTTGGAATTGGTTACATTGTCTAAGTTTTGAGATTTGACCCATTTTCCCCCTAAGGCTTGTGGATCCGTGATATTGAGTAATAGTAGGATTTTGGTTTTGGCATTGCAGACGTCTGGATCCACAGAGTCACTCACATCTTCAATGAAGGAGAGACGTTTCTCGGCGTCCCAGAATAGAGTGTCGTTGCATACTTCATTGGGTGTTGGTCTGGATAAAAATAAATGTAGATTTATAATATCTTAATGTATAGGTGAAAAGAAAAATGTATAATACAGAAAAACACGATGAACGTTCATTATTTTATCAATGTAGTAATTAAACCATTATACTTCATGTCACCATCTGGACTTGAAGAAAGGAAAAATACAGAAAAGCATAACATACTTTCACCATTTAATTGATTTGGCCATTTAATAAATTATGCAGTAATCAAATCATTAAAAAAAATCCATTTTTTTTATCTGTTTATCTTGTTTCAGAAAAGAGGGAAACAAAGAAAAGCTGAATTAACTATTTTATGTATTAATTAAAAAATCATACAGTTTTTGACCATTTAAAAGAAAAACATTTTGCGACGCATACATTTCTTCCACATATGTTATCTAAGGGTAGTTTGGGGAAATAGGCAAATAGTGCAATCTTTGGTAGTGGGAGAGCGTCGAGGGCATTTTAGGTACAATTGATGTTAGAGGGTTAGCCTATAAGTCACTGGGAATAATCAGGGAGAGGGCATCGATCTTTTGTGAAAACTGGAACTTATTCCTATAGGGAAAGTAGCTATCTCAAATCAGCTAACCTATCCTTTTGTGAAAAATATATAAAGCTTTTTTGTACTTTGCCCTTTGCCATATCAAAATAAAGTAACTGCATTACTGGTTTAGACAAAAATAAAAAATAAAAAAAAAACAGTATTATGTTTTAATCACCATAGGAGATAAAATGGTAAGAATACAAATGCTTTCCTATATATTTTCCATAGAAAAATAAATGCAAGTTCAAATTATTAAAACATGAAATCAGTCAATATGTTTATTAACTAAAGCAAGCCGTACACGGTACACCCCCATGGTACTTTTAACTACTTTCATCATAATTTATTATACCTGGATTCTGGATTAGGATGCAGGAGACGAGAGATAAGATCATAGGCTTCCGGGATATATTTTAAGTGATCTTGCACTTTTTTGTCATTAAACGGGAGGTAATCACCAGTGATACAAAAGATAAACAGATTCCCTAAATCGAATAAATCCCCAGCAGTCATTTGTCCTATGAAAATGCCATAAAAATTAAAAACTAAAAAGATTTAAAAAATACAAGATATGAAGTAGTTTCTGATTTTTTCCCTATTACAGTATAGTAACTTTTCCCTTCCTTATTAAAGCATTGTAGTCTCAGATTACTCCTGATCACAGCATCATCAATTATAGCAGCAAGATTATAATTATGATGATGTTAACATGCCACCTCGGACGTAAACATGTAATTTTATGCTGAAGATTTGACATATCAAATGAAACTTATAATTGTTTTTTACAAAAACCTGCCTTTTCTCTCTCATCTTGGGTATATGGACACTTATTTATGATAAAAACAAAAAAAAAAAAATTAAAACTTTTTAGTCAAGTCAGCATTATATCACATGTGTACGCCTACAAGGACGATGATATATGATAAAAAAACATGTTAACTTGTGTCATGCCATCATAAGTCCAGTCTCAATGCTAACGTGGGTAAATTTTCTAAAGAGCAATGCTTTAATAATGAACTTTGAAAGCACAGTGTTGTAATAAGAAAAAAACAAAAATAGAATGCTATAATAAGGAACAATTAGAAACTATTTTTCTTTTTCTTGCCCATTCAAATATCAGTAAAGTAATCTATCATATCATAAATCATAAATGAAACAATAAAAGAAGACTTGCTTGTTGTGCTTTCAGTTAAAGAAGATTTATTGTCAGATAGGCGGCGCTTGCTACTGCCCATTCCTGAGACTTTTGCCGTAATGGAAGTATCTCTGTGTATTAAGATGTTTTGAGAGTTCAAGTTCATGTGAAAAATTCCAAGTTCATGTAAATGGGCAGTTCCTTTAACTATATCCCTGTAATTCATATATACCAAAGAATATTATGAGTTTCAATAAATAAAGTTATTAAAAAAAAACATATGCATAGGAACTGGAGATAGAAATAAGGTGATACAAGGGAACAAAACATAACATAACAAGATGGGACAAAGACTTACGACTAACTTTTTAGATTTTAGTCTCGCCCAAAAAGATGGAACAAAACTGTTTTAGTGAATTTAGACAAAAATAAACAAATAAATGAAGGATATACACTGGCCTTCCAATTTTCTCATGTTTGTACGTCGTGATTTTCTCAAATATCATTTAATCATCATTCATCCACACACACTTAAAAAAAAAAAAAAAAAAAAAGGAACATAATGTAACCTTAAAATTTCCAACAAGTGCTCTGAAGGATATACATTGGCCTTCCATAGTTCCAAATCCCTGAAACCGTCCAGTTTCCGCTTGAATCCATCCGATTCATCACAGGACGATATCAACTCATGTAAATTGCATTGACACCTCTCAAGAGCAGTATAAACAAAACGTCCATCATCCTCCTTACCATACAACCGAACAATATTAGGATGATCAGTTTCCTTCAGAATTTGAATCTCGTTGTTTGCAACATCACGATGCACAATCGGAGTCCTTTTCACAGCAGCCTCTCTACCAGCATAAGTTCCCTCGAATACAAGAGTCCCTTCCCTCCCCTGCCCAATTTCTTTTTTAGAAAGTGATATGTTCCCAATTGGACGATGTATACCAGGATAGCTTTTTGATAAACATAGAAGACAATTGTTACGAAGATCTTTCCGATCAATACCCATGGGCGTACATAATCCAACAAAATCATGACACACATGCATCTGTCCATTCACCCATATGATCTGGTTTGTAACTCTAACCTGGTTTTCACCCTTCACCTTCTCAAACACTGCTAGAGTTGATTGGGTAACACAGTCTGTACTTTCATCTTTTGGGTCCGAAGAACTTCCATGTTTTGAGTTGCATGAAGTTGCATGTGTCTTTATTTCTAAATGATATACCTCTGTTAAACCTCTCTTATGTAAGGGAAGGTCAAATGGATCTCCTGTATATATAAATTTCTTGCACAATCCTTTTTTGACTTCTACTGTAATGGTTTCAAGCAGCTTTTTAGCTGTTGGGAAAAGGCTAAAGTCTTCTCCCCCTATTTCAAAGAAATAAAGAGTAATGCTGCCAGGAGAACAATATAAAACCGATTACCATAAGTTCATAAAGCATAAAACACAGTATATATCTACAAGATGCATGACTAGAAAATTTTTGACGAAAAAATCAAACATAAAATGTTCGCAATGGCTATGTTTATATATGTAAGAGTAAAAACTTTACATGCCATCAACATGGGCATCATAAGTGAACTCAATACGGTATTTTTCCATGTCGTTTTGATCGGGCTTGATCTTCAAGCTATATCTCATGATATCAACAGTGTACTCTAAAACCCCAGCCCTTTTATGCCCACATGGATACGTATTATCGACCAACGTCTGCGCTACAGATCTATTAGCATCGATCTCTAGCGCCGCTGGGACCGGCGGTGTGTCTGCTCTACTCTCCGTTGTGTCCCCCGGGAAATTTGACTTCTTATTTTGATTGTTGGCCATTTTCTTTTGATGGTTGTTTTTACTCTTGCCTGTTATCAGACCAAGATTAAGACCTTGATCAAGAAGAAATTTAGGATCTGAGACAAAAATAGAAGACAGTGTAAACTAAAAGGGTCAAAAACAAGAAGGAATTTTAATGATTTGCTTTTTTGTTGGACAGCAATAATTATATAGGAAAAAAGGAAAACTAACAAAAGGCCAGCAATAGTACAGGAAGAGGAGAAAAAGATAATTTACATATGCACCATTCTAGCAAAGTAGGGTAAACACGAGCTACACCTAAGTAACAATAGCAATATAACCCCACTTTCAATTTTAAGGCAAAAAGACCTCTCAAGGCCTCCTAAGTGAAATCTTTTATACCGCCTGAGCAACCTTCTTTAAATACTGTTTGAAACAGAGCCCTACCCTACAAAGCGGAACACAACCAGTCGACCATCACAACACAATTAAGGGTGCCGAAACCAAAACTTCAATACAATACAATATATCAAAAAATCCAGACAAGACTATTAATATATAATATTTTTACATCGTTCATCAAAGTAGATCTAGACAATTTTTATGTTTTCTAATTCATGTACAATAGCCTCCAAACTAACTGTTGCAGCATAAAACCAATTGACTTTCTTTTACATTTATAACCTATTATAATTTTTTAAAAGAAAATGTTACTACATGTTATTAATTTTAATTATGAGGCTATACATAACTTATATAATATGAGAAGCTTTAGTTTTTGCCTATGGAACCAAAATCTATAGTAATTTATGGAAAAAGTTGGGGGGCATGGTCCTCTAAGCCCCAATAACTGGTCTCTAGTTCAAAGAGTCCATAACATTCTTCAGTAATCAAACCAAGGAAACAATCTACAACGAGTAGCAAAACAAACATAATTCCCACATACTTTGGTCAAGGAGCAAATGATTTAAAACGAAAAAACAACAAAACCGAGTCAAAAATTCGCATAAACAGGGGAAAATTTTAACAAAAAACGTACCTGGCTGTCCTCTATTCGACTCTGCTTGCTGCTACCGCTGCTTCTTAGAGAAGTGTACTTGAAGTTGTGAACAGGTATTCGAAAGCGTATGCTTGTTGCTGCCGCTGCTTTGTAAAGAAGTATATGTTAACAAGACTATTGTTAAAAAACGAACTCTTTTTATTGAAAAATGGAATACAGATACAACCAAAGCTCGTTACAGATTATACCCACACTCATATGACCTAAGAAACTAACATAGCAATTACAAAGTACGTGAACAAGAACAAACCCTACAAGGAAACCTAACACATACGAGAGAGTATGAGGTCTAAGAACAGCGTGTGTGTCTGTGTGTAGAGAATGAGCGAATGACGAATTCTGTCTCTATGTCTCCTATTTAAGCTCCGGGTCATGAACCGGTTGGTAAAACCGGTGGAATCCAACACAGGTGGGGTCAGCGTGTTTTTCAAATTCAAGAGAAACGAGTCGCAGTCCTTCGTCTTCTGCATAACTACACTTTACTCTGTCTAATCTGAAACTCTTTCATTCTTCATACTTTCACAGCTTTTACATATTATACCCTTAATGTAAGTTAATATTCCATTAAGCTCAATGCTAATCTTCTTATTAAGTCATTGTTCTCAATACCCTTCTTATTAAGTCATTGTTCTCAATACCCCTCTCAAGATCAACATTAAGAAAAGAAAGACACGTTTAAAGTATCAGTTGTTTTTCTGTATCAATTTTAATTATTTTTAAAATCCATTTTTGATACTTTTTACATACAAAATGTACTTCAACTTCAAAATGTTTTGTTTTTTCATTGAAAAAAGTAATTTAAAGCAAGTTTTATAGTCGATTCATTGTCACAATAAACATTTACTAGTATTAAACATTTCACTCCAAAGTCAAAAAACAACTTTTAAAATCCACACAATCCCATAGGTTACATAAATAACAAAATTATAGTTTAACTCGGTGGAATACATATACACGCCCCCTGAGGGGGTGCAGTTGCATAAGTCTTGAAAAAAATAGGGCTCAAGTTTTAATTATCCAGTTAGGTAATTAATATATACGATTTTATTTAGGGGTGTCGAACGGGTAAAATTTTCGGGTTTCGGGTAGAACGGGTCGGGTAGAACGAGTATTTCCTTAAGAAAATAATACCCGATACCCGACCTATATTATAATTCGGGTTTCGGGCATTCGGGTTTGAGGTCGGGTCGGGTAATTATCGGGTATACCCGAAAATTTCTTAAATGACACTTATTGATACTTTTTTTTTATTTTTAGATGTTGGTTGGTTTAATAGAGAATCGGGTAGGAAAATACACCATACAATTAACAAGTACATATATAATAACAATACAAATCATTATAATATGTTATGTATTTTTTTAATTCCATTTCGTGCGATAGTGAGAATCTGAAAATTGTGATGACGGTTCAGGACTTCAGCTTCAGCGTCGTATTCCCTTTGCAAGTTTGCGTCGACTGTCGAGTCGTCGTTCATAAGAAGGAAACGAAGGGTTTTGTTTTATTTCAAGTGTGCGTACGTGACTGCATTGTATATTTGGTATTATTTAAAAAACGAATTCGGGTATCCGGGTATACCCGAAAATAAATATTCATACCTAAAACCCGACCTATATTATTATCGGGTTAACCTATTACCTGAATGTTCATACCCGTTACCCGTTCTACCCGAATTCGGAACGGGTCGAGTGGGTAGAACGGGTTTCAAGTTTTTTCGACAGGGCTAATTTTATTCAAACTAGAACATAAAAGATATGTGGAACAACTGGTTAAAGCATCACTTGGGTCGGGTGTATACCTAGGTTTGAATCCCGCGTATATAAAAAAAATTACACTTGCATTGCTTCATATGATGTTGCTCCTTTGTTTTGCTTTGATTCAGGAAGTTACATATTTACCTCCCTCACTTTATAAATTTGCAATTGTCCTTTTTTATTATTTTAATTTACTTGTTAGTTTTTGTCGTGACAATTCACACCTATTAATTTACTTATATATAAAAAAACATGATATTCTTCCCCACATGACCTTTAAAATCAACAAACGGACCCTATATTTATAAGCGGATTCATGTTTCTTGCTCTTCAAAAATATCATTGAATCTCTAAATAAACACAATAACCACCCATTCTATACGACATATAGATTCTACAAGCATCTCCCATTATGGAAACATTTCCATATTCTCATATGACCATCAATTCTGAACAAGAATCCTCTCAATCCAAAACTTGTCACTATGGTCCGTCATATCAGTATCATACTTCCAACTGTCCACAAGCAACCAATCTTCGGTAAACCTTAGAATGTTCTTGACAGTTGTTTAACAACTTTAATCACATTAAATTCTAATCCTTTTCACACAATGTTAAAGGCATTTGAAAAATTAGAATAAGAGAGTATTATAGCATATACAATCGATCCTATATTCAAAGCATATGGGACTCGACTCATTATGTCCTACATAAGGATTTGATATATGTTCAATTCCTTGATATAATATTTCCATATATAGAATCTCCGATGTTAAAAGATTTCAACGTGTTATTCATATATGTCTTTGACTTGGTTCCATTAAACCATATGACCTAAACCTTTAGATTCCAAATGAAGTATGAGTGCCCTCTCCCAGAAGTCCACTATAGCGAAACACTTTCCGAACTTTACAATATGCAAAAAACAGAAACATTGTTTTCTATGAACAATATTGTCAACATGCAATACTAGCATAACAGTTATGCTCCCATTGACATGTACCCATAAATCAACTGGACTTCTAGAAATCAATACCCTTTGACTTCCCTACAGAAGTACATATTTATGTTACACGATGCTTCAACAAGTCTCCAACTAGACTTTTTAATATTATGAACAAATTACTGAAATAGTCCCTGTGGTTTGGCTAAAGTTGCGCGTTTGGTCCCTATGTTTTGTTTTGCACTCGGACCATCCCCACGTTTTATTTTTATTACCCGCCTGGTCCCTGGGTCCGTTAGTCGTCAATTCCAAACGTTAAGTCCCTCACGTGCTTCGCACATGAGGAGTATTTTCGTCATTTTATACATGGCGCCTAAATGCAATGCCAATCGTTTCTTCATTCCGATCATTTTCCGATCACCTCCCTCTCACACACACTCTCTCTCTCACTTAATCTGTAACTCATCAAAATCGAGTAGAAACCCTAACTCCTCAAAATTTTGCAAGAATCATCGAAGCAACAATGGTGGGTTTGAGGATTAGAGCAAACATGGAAGAAATAGACGTTGAAAACCATTACGGTAACCGCTTAATTTCAAAAGTTAAATTTATCACTTACAAATTTCAAGCTAATAAGTTGAAGCTTTCTCTTTTACAACTGGTCATCCAACTATCTTCTCCATCAGATTATTCTATGGTGGAGAGTTTACGAAGTTTCCTGGAAGGAGGTACGTCAAGGGCAAAGAAAGATACGTTGATCTATTGGACATTGATGAGTTTTGTGTGCACGATATTGATGAGATGATGGAGACCCTAGGCTGTGTTGAGGAGGGTAAGTTGCTTTATTACCACTTCAAAAGACCCTTTTCAGATTTGGACTTTGGGTTGTTTGCATTGGCTAGTGACAGTGACATTAACCATTTGGGTACATACGTGGGTCAACATAAACTGATTGAAGTTTATGTTGAACATGGTAAAACAATGTTGCATACATATACAATGTCATCTACCCCTAGTAAAGTTAGGATAGAAGAAATCGTTGATCAACCTTCGTGTAGTAGAAGGCTTTTTTTGGAATGGAAGGAAACTGAAACAGGGGATTGTATTGGATCAAGTAAACCAAATGTTGTGCCAACAAAAGAAACTGAAAGTGCCCAAATTGATGCCCAATGTGAAACACAAGGTATATGTGATGAATTTGATGAATTTCTAAATGAAGAAACTGGAGGGATTACTCATGAAAGTGACAATAGAGATGATGCTGATGATAGTGGTGATAGTGGTGATAGTGATGATAGTGAGTTCTTAGTAGACTTAGATAACCTCCTAGATGAACCTGAGATAGACATGAATGAGTTTTTGTTAAATATTGATGAAGATATAGAGTGGGTGGGTGATCTTGGAGGGTCAAATGTCAAGGAAACAGAAACAAGGGAAATTGATGATATTGAGGTTGTAAACAATGAGGTATTCTTATATGAGTCATCATCTGATGAAGGTGGGAGCAACAAGAGAAGAAAGTCAATTAAGGCAATCCGAAGGGCAATGGAAAACAGTGAAGCAAGAGTTAGTGATCCATTCTATGTGTACCAAAAATTCACCTCATCTGAAGAATTGAAAAATGCAATAAGACAACATGCTGTGGAGACAAGGAGGGAACTAGACTTCATAAAAAATGACAAAAACAGAGTGAGAGCTATTTGTAAAGGTACTATCCCAGACCTTGGTCAACTTGACCCATGTGGGCCCAGTCAAAGCAATAAAGAAAGTGAAGAAAACAACTGTCCATGGGTACTTTATGCTAGCAAGTGGGAACAAGATGTTGACTGGGAGATCAAGACCTACGAAAAAGAGCATAGATGTCTACAAACAAGAAATGTGAAAGCTTGTACCTACAAGTTCTTGGCAAAGAAACTTGTGCAACAGATTGAAAGCAACCCTACAGTCCCTACACGAGCTTTACAAGAACAACTTCAACGTGAATACCAGGTAGATATTTCGAAGATGAAGGTATTTAGGGCTAAAACATAAGCATTGAATCAAGTAAGGGGCGATTATGCAGGGCAATATACTACACTACGAGACTATGTTCAAGAACTTCGCACTCGAAACCCAGGGACAACAGTTAAGATAGAGGTCGAAAGTGAGCCAAACCCATCTTCTGAGACTAGAACTTTCAAACGGATCTACATCTGTCTAGGGCCATTAAAGAAAGGTTTTCTAGCTGGTAAAAGAGATTATCTTGGTTTGGATGGGACTTTCATGAAAGGGCCTTATCCTGGAATGATACTCACAGCAGTGGTAAGATGTAAACACATATCTTGTGTCATTTTATTCCATTTTATTTAAATTACTAACTCCTTCACTATGTTTAGGGTCTTGATGGAAATAACTGTACATATCCTTTGGCATATGCTGTCGTGGAGGCTGAGAATATAAACTCATGGACTTGGTTCTTAAGGTGCTTGGGTGATGACATTGATTTGCAAGCTAATTCCAACTTTACCTTTATATCTGACAGACAGAAGGTAAGTAATTTCAATGGACTTGGTTCTTATTGTACAATGTATACATTACATCTAATGTTGTTTACTTTTTGTACAAGGCTTGTTGCAAGCAATTGGTACATTGTATCCATGTGCAGAACACAGGTTTTGTCTGCGACACATTCATGAAAACATGAAGAAAATGTGGAGGGGAAAGGTGTTCCAAGACATGTTGTGGAACTGTGCAAGTACAACAACAATACAAGAATTCAACCATGCTATGGAAG